TTTAAATAACAAGGGTAAACTTCTTATTTTATAAGAGAATCCACTAACCTCATAAAGCATATCAATTGTGAAGCAAAACTCGAGTAAATGGCTCAAACTGAAATTGTTTGCACTCAATAACGTGGGGAATTGAACCTATCACATGCTCATCTCCGTTCCCAAGTTCGTTTCTTACCCACCAAGACAAGCTTAGAGGAATTTATTAGTACGCTAAAAACACAGATATTCACCATATTCATGATTAGTTAGTTTGTAAGTTGATGACGTCCATAATTTATAAGCTTGTAAGGACTTGATTGGTAAAAGTTTCCTCCAATCAGGATGAAATGAAAGTATAGCATTGATAACAATTTATGGTCCAAATTTTTCTCGAACCCCAGTTGGAGAAATCTTCCTCCAATGGGTCTGATTGGTCAGATTTTTAAAATTTGTTAGAACTAGGTAAGTTACCCACTCTTAGAAAATTACTCATTTAATAAAATTCCATCTCCTTCTCTTCTCTTTCTCTTTCTCATTCTCTCTCCTCACTCTCGCACCACCCACCATCGACTACCCAAACTACTACCCACATGTTGCTGCCACCCCCGACCACGCCGCCACCACTAATCTCGCAGAGCAACCGTCGACTCCTCCAGCCTCCCTATCTCGTCTCTGCCATCCTTGAATTTGCTTCGTCTATTAAGGATCCCTCTCTCTTTCTATGTTGACACCTCAATTTTGGCGCAAAGGCTTTCTTGCATTAAAGAAAAAATAATACTGACAAAGAGATAGAATGAGGCCTTTATTTGGCAACGTGGTATTTTGTTTTGGCAATTGGAAGAAGCACCCACCGTTCAGCTTGGTGCCCGGTGGAGTCTCGGTCAACGAAGAAAAGAAGGGACAAAAGACAGAAAAAAACAGAAGCAACAAGAGATTTGGTCGACACAAAAGAAGCCGAGAACATGCGGGCAAGTATAACAAAGGAGAGGAGGAAATCAAAGGCAATTTCGGTGAGGACTTCAAGATGATTAATGGCTGAATTTTCTTACACTCGCATTCGCTCTCTCATAAGCACATACTCGCACGGATTCTCTGAAAATCGGAACGAGAGGTAGAGTGAAACTGTGAGAGTGCAGGAGGCTGCGCATTTGGACGAGGAGAAGGAGGAGGAACCACGAGCAATCAAAGGCGATCACCTAGTTCCATCGGTCGTCCGTGTTTATCCCCAGCGTTCGCTAGGTAAGAATTCATGACTTCCACGTACCCGGGTTATGTTCTAATTCAGTTGTAGCTTGATGTCATTTTCTCTGAATCCACAGCTTTTTTTGTTTCGCAGAAAATGAATGATTTGGAAAAACGACATTCTCTTAAAAATGATCGTTTGTATCAATTGAAATAATTAGCTAATGAAAAATGCTTTCACTTTCGAAAACAATTTATGTCTATATATTTTCATGAACGATGAAAACATTTCCGTCGATTCATTTTTCTAAGCGATCATTTCTAAGAAAATATTTTCCGAATAATTCATTTTTTGCGAAATAAACAAAGCCTATTTGACTGAATTTGATTGTTTTATCGCTGCAAGTTTATTGCTTTAGTCCGATGGTATGATGGATCCACGTTGGTTTTAAATATTTTTGGGACAAGTGCACTACAAGTCCTAAAACTTGTCACAAAAGTGCATTTGAGTCCTAAAACTTACAAAAAGTTCATTTGAGTCCTAAAACTTGTCAAAATGGTTCATTTGAGTCTTAAAGTTAACACCGTTAGATTAACTAACGGAAAATGCTGACGTGGCGCTGACGTGTCATTTTTAATTATTTTTCTTGAGACACGTGGCGCCACGTCAGCAAAAATAAAAAAAATAGAAAAAGCTGAAAAAAAAAACCAAAAAAAGGAAAAAAAAAAAAAGAACCAGCAGTGGCCGCCGCCACAGCCACCGGGAAGGACCGGTGGAGGTCGCCTGGGCCTTCCCGAAGCCCGGCGGAGGTCGCCTGGGCCTTCCCGAAGCCCGGCAACCCTCGCCGGCCCCGGGCGAGTCCCCGGCGAGGGCCGGCGACCCTCTCTCAGATCTGGGGCGAGGGTCGCGCCCTCCCCGAGTCGAGCTAGGGTCGCCGGCCCTCGCGGGACTCACCCGGGCCGGCGAGGGTCGCTGGGCCTTCCCAAAGCCCGGCGACCTCCGCCGGGCAGCTGGCGAGTCCCGGCGAAGGCCGGCGACCCTCGCTCAAATCTAGGGCGAGGTGGCACCCTCCCCAGATCGAGGGTCGCCGGCCTCACCGGGGACTCGCCCGGGACCGGCGGAGGTCGCCGGGCTTCGGGAAGGCCCGGGCGACCCTCGCCGGTGCCGGGCGAGTCCCCGACGAGGGCCGGCGACCCTCGATCTCAGGGGAGGGCGCGACCTCGCCCGAGATCGGAGCGAGGGTCGCCGGCCCTCGCCGGGGACTCACCCGAGGCAGGCGAGGGTCGCCGGGCTTCGGGAAGTCCCAGGCGACCTCCGCCGGTCCTTCCCGGTGGCTGTGGCTTGGCCACCGCCGGTTCTTTTTTTTTTTTTCCTTTTTTTGGTTTTTTTTTTGTTTTTTTTTCAACTTTTTCTATTTTTATTTTTATTTTTGCTGACGTGGCGCCACGTGTCTCAAGAAAAATAATTAAAAATGACACGTCAGCGCCACGTCGGCATTTTCTGTTAGTAAATCTAACGGTATTAACTTTATGACTCAAATGAACCATTTTGACAAGTTTTAGGACTCAAATGAACTTTTTGCAAGTTTTAGGACTCAAACGCACTTTTGTGACAAGTTTTAGGACTTGTAGTGCACTTATCCCATTTCTTCATCATCTCGCATGTTTATATCACGTGCGATCCAATCTTACTTCAATTTCCAGCATTATTTAACTTTAATTTTGGAAGTCTAAGATTGAAAAGTCCCAAACTGAGGACAACGGTTCATTAATGTAAATCCCCACAAATCCGGGGGGCGTGTTGCAAGGGGTAGTTTCGGTCTACAAATTATGTTTGGCATTCGACATATAGATTTGATTCATGCATGTAGATTTTAGTTCGTAATTGTTTCGGCAAATGGTTATTTTTTTCAGTTAATTTAATTTCGTTTTATAAAATAAAAAATAATAAAAAGAAGCGGCAAATAAAAGGGATAGATCGCATCTTCATTGGAAAAAAATCAAATAATATATTTAGAAGTGCATTTAGGGAAAATCCCCCCCCCCCCCCCAAAAAAAGATTGTATCTATTAGATTTTAGGGTTAATTCCACAAAAATCTCCAAACTGGTACACTTGTGACAAATTTATCTCAAATTATTTTTTTTAGCACCAAAAACCCCAAACTAGTACAACTGTGACAAATTTACCCTTTGTTAGTTTATGTTAAATTTTACCGTGAAATTGTTGAGTTGAATGGCACAGGACAATTGACAAGTATACCAGTTTGAGGTTTTGATCTTCGTTTATCATAGGTATATCAGTTTGCAATTTTTTGTGGTATTAATCCAATTTAACGGAAACTAACGGAGGGTAAATTTGTCACAAGTGTATGAGTTTGATGTTTTTGGTGGTCAAGAAAATAATTTGGGGTAAAATTTTCACACCAGTTTAGGGTAAATTTGTCATATGTGTACCAGTTTGGGGTTTTTCATGGTATTAACACTAGATTTTATTTCCATACATAACAGTTAATTTTAGTAAACCAATTTATTTAGTAGAAATTAATTGTGTATCATATATTCACTTTTCTTTTGGGTTAATATCACAAAAAACCCAAAACTGGTACACTTGTGACAAAATTTATCCTAAACTAATTTTTTTACCACAAAAAATCCCAAATTGGTACACATATGACAATTTTACCCCAAACTGGTATATTTGTGACAAATTTACTCTCCGTTAGTTTTCGTTAAATTGGATTAATACCTTAAAAAACCACAAACTGGTACATTTATGACAAACGGAGGATAAAACCCAAAACCGGTACATAAGTAAACTGCCGTGTGTCATTTAACAAAGAAATTTAATAGTAAAATTTAACGGAAACTAACGGATGGTAAATTTATTACAGGTGTACCAGTTTTGGATTTTTTGTGTTAAAAAATTAGTTTTGGATAAATTTGTCACAGATAGACCAATTTGACGTTTTTCGTGGTATTAACCCATTTTAATTTTTAGCATGAAACGTATTCCATTTATAGTTCAGGGCTCCTGTCCCGAGCCTTAATAACTTGTTACTTTTAACTCGATACCGCTCAGAGTCCTTTATTTTTCTATTTGACATTGCTTGATTTACAATTTTACTACTTGTGCACTCATGCATGATCGCTTCTATTTACATGTTTAAAGGATTTAGGGAAAGCAAAAATTGAAAAATCGCATGCAAATTTTTTTTTTTTTCATAAAAGAGATGCCAAAAGGGCATTAGATTTATCCTCAAACTCATGAATCTTTGGTTCGTAGGAGTAAGGCGGACTGCCTCATCTTACTCGGGCTCCTAATAGACTCAGAGTCTCATATAGGTTAGTGGTGGCTCAAGATTGAGAGAATGTCGCGATGCTCTCGAAAAATTGATGGATTGCCAAGTGAGCGTGAATGGTTCCTCTCGCAAGGTGGCGCCTACTCCTAGCACAAGCCCTTTCAAACTTGATTGCAACTTGGTCTCTCGTCAGGTCATGAATTGAAGGATTGCCAAGTATTTTTTTTTTTTTCCAATTGAACTTATATGTGGGTGACATGCCTGCTTAGGACCTACCAATAGGAGTCTGGTCCGATAAAATTTCCTCTAATCCAGTTTAAAGGAAAACATAACCCACGAATTGAAGGACAGGCATATTAGGTCAATGCACTCCTGCCACATTTTTTATAATTTAAGTGCAAATTTTGTTTTATAACATAGCACAATTTTGTTGTAATATGTGTGACGTACATCACAAAGCTCACCCTTCTTTATTAAATAATATGATGCCAATATCGAATATAAAAATGTCACTTAACTAACTCCATAAGTACCGACGGCTCTCCCCTCCCACAACTTCCCCCGCAGCAAAACATGGCTCAAACGGCCGTTCGTTTCGGCATTCTTGGCTGCGCCAACATAGCGCGCCAGCTCTCCCGAGCCATCATGCTGTCGCCAAACACTGCCCTCTGCGCCGTCGCGAGCCGCTCGATCGAAAAGGCCCGGAAGTTCGCAGCCGACAACGGCCTCCCCTCGACAGTCAAGATCTACGGCGACTATGGGGCGGTCCTCGACGACCCCAACATCGACGCTGTCTACATCCCTTTGCCGACCACCTTGCACGCGAAGTGGGCGGTGGCAGCCGCCGAGAAGAAGAAGCACATGCTGCTGGAGAAGCCGGTCGCGCTGGACGTGGCAGAGCTCGACCTGATCCTCAAGGCCTGCGAATCGAACGGCGTGCAGTTCATGGACGGGACGATGTGGGTGCACCACCCGCGGACGGAGCGGATGAGGGAGGCGCTCCGGGACGAGAGGAGCTTTGGTCAACTCAAGATGGTAAGTGCCTTCACTGTTCGAACACATGCTTGAACACACTCATGGGTCATGCATGGTGGGTAGGTGCTGTGTGTGTAATTATTTAATTTTTCATATGCAATAATTTTCTGTTGAAAATACATATGACCAGTATGATGGTTACTTTGCTAGCGACGTCCACTTTTGTCTTTGTTTAGCCTTTTTTTTTAATTCTAAGTTGAAAATTTTCCCTTTCTTATGATGTTTTGGACCTACTGTTCATAACGAAACCGGCAAATTATTGGTTCTTGGAGAGAGAAGCACTGCGCTTGACGGGACAACCTAAGTCTAATCAGTCTCTGTTTGGATGCGTATACAAAATTGGGAGTTTCCAATTACGATCTTATCGATGCGTGGGTGATTTTGTCATGTAAATGATGATTCATTTCCGCTAGACTTACTCAAATCTTGGTTCAATCCACATGATTGACAGCGGGTGTGTGCTAATTTTGTTGTTTTTTCCACGGAAAAATCAATGCTAAATGTTAATCTTTGACTTGGATGCGAATTCATAATTCCAGCAATTTTTATGTGGAATATTATATTGCTAGAACCCTTTTAATAATTAAGAGAATCCGCCATAATCTTTTATGTTGTAAACTACTTTTTGGACTCAACATGCAAGTCATCATCGTCAATAGAAAGAATGGAAATCAAAAGAACCACGTTTCTGGAACAAATTAATTTGTAGCTAATTGATGATGTTACCTGAAATTATTTGATTGTGAATCTTCTTGCTCTAGAAATTACATTTTGTACCATGGGAGAGGTTTTTTGGAGCACCAAAATAGTAGGATATCCTTAACTACCCAAACTAATTAAGGAGTGTCAAGTTTCATTTATTTAAAATAAAACAACATGCATATGCCATTTGATATGTAATTATTGATTTGGATGGACAGAAACGCGATACTCGAGAATAGATATAAGTTTCACCATCCTGTAGTCGAAAATACATATAAGTTTCACCGTCCATAATGGTATTTACACAGAAAATGTCTGTCAATACTTCACTTTTATCAATTTAAGTTGTACGTACTTGGATCACCTTGCTTTAACTGTTGATTTGTCTAACATCCGTTGTACTCTTTCTGAAATTTCGGTTCCCGTCGAGTAAGAAAACCATTTCCAAATTTGCATTTCTTGCTCCTGTTAACGATGTAAGTATACATACGTAACCATTTCCAAATTTGCATTTCTTGCTCCTGTTAACGATGTAAGTATACATACGTAATCGTGTTCGATCGATGTCCCAGAAAAAACAAATTATTAGAATGGTCTTCGTACGAGTAAATTTTTTTTATTTTTCCTCTCAATTTTGAACAGATACACAGTGTGCTTGCCTACAATGCCGGTCCAGACTTTCTAAAGAATGACATTAGAGTCAAACCGGACTTGGATGCTCTTGGAGCTCTAGGAGACATCGGATGGTATTGCATCAGGTCAATCCTCTGGGCAGTTGACTATGACCTCCCCAAAGCAGTGGTGGCCATGCACAAGCCCGTCTACAACGATGCAGGAGTGATTCTATCTACAGGAGCTTCACTATCCTGGGAAGATGGCAAAGTTGCCACTTTCTATTGCTCCTTCTTGTCTTACATGACGTTCGACCTCACCGTCCTCGGAACCAAAGGGGCTCTTCGGGTCGACGACCTCATCAGCCCGTTCCAAGAGCGTTACGGGTCTTTCAGCTTGGTTTCCGAGTCGGATTTCGCCCAGCTGGAGCAAGGTCGGTGGGCACCCGCGCCGAGGGAGCACCGTGTTGGATCGGAGGTTCCTCAGGAGGTCCTTATGGTGAACGAATTTGCGAAGTCGGTCGGGAAAATCAAAGGGGAGGGTTTGAAGCCGGATAGGGAGTGGGCAAACATAAGTAGAAAGACTCAGCTGGTGATGGATGCAGTGAAGGCCTCCATGGAGAAGGGTTTTGAGGCTGTCGAGCTAGTTGAATATATCTGAGATTTCTCTGTTGCCGCTGCTCGAGAGACTGGTTTCATTCAGGACTTAGCGACCGTGGAATCGAAGCGCGGTGCCATAGAACCCCGAAGATCGAATGGTTCCGGATAATCGCCTGGTTCAGATTAACATGTGTAATTAGCATACCGTTAAGTATGGCTTTGATGTTTTTTTTATAATTGATTTTGTTGTGTTTTTATTTTAGGTCAATGTTTGCTTAAAAATGCTAGCCAATGATATTTGAATATATTGTGCAATCAAAGTGAACGAGAAAATTCGGGCTCACTCTATAACAGGGGAATAATTATGTCATATGATCTACACTATGCATAATAAAGCCATTTGAACCGCTATTTATGTGAGCCTATGATGAGACCCACATAATCAATGATTCAGACTATACTTAGTTCATGTGATTTTATAGACCATGCAATAAATTCTTCTATGGTGAGATGTTGTTTTCCTTTCCCAACGTAGTTACTACTATTTTCTTGTGGGAAAATTGTCCAATTAGTCATAAACCTATTGAACGGATGCCAATTCTGTCCCAAATTTTCCAATTTTATCAATTTTATTCTAAACCTTTGCACAAAATCCAATGTAGTTCTTCCAGTCAATTTTCGCTGGAAAATGCTAACATAATGATGGCCACATAGAATGGTCGGCGATGACCGGACGGATTGCCACGTTAGCGATGTCAAGCAAAATTGACCTTCTGAAAATTGACCAAAATGACTACATTGAAATTCCACACAAATGTTTAGGACAAAATTAGCAAAATCAAAAAGTTTACGATTGAATTGGCATTGAAACAATAAGTTTAGCACTAATTGGGTACTTTTCCCATTTTCTTGCCTTATTAAGCCCTTTTTTTTTTTTTGGCCATGCTGGACCTCAAAGGATAATCACAACCCCAACTTCTCACATGTCCCTTATGGAGCTTTGTGTATCCACTAGGGAAGTAGAATAATGAGTTGGGGTGCATATCATTTTCCCATTTATTTATCATAAAGCAAATTGGTCTAACGCTTTTCGCCAAGCACTAGGCAGATGTTTTTTCCTTTCTATGGCAAAACATGGGGTCTTAAATTTTCTTGTGCTTTGTTACTTCGGCGAACCGAGGACGTGCCTTTTAATTCATCCAACTGTATCGAAGAGTGTCGCCCGCAAGGCACACATACATGCATGTTTTTCTGCGCAGACACATCCTCGTTCAACCCCAAAATGTGGCTTTGCTTCGTTGTACTGTATTGCACTTCATGCTCCAACCTATGCAACTTTCCACGCATCTCTCCCGGAACAAAACCCTCGGGCTTGCTGTAAAAAGAAGAGACTTTTCGACGTGCTTTCTTTTTGAGAGAGAAACAAAAGGAGTGAATCTCTCTCTGATCTTGCTTGGTCATTGGTTCCTTCTTCAACGCTCTCCTCTTGTATGCTGGAACTTCGTGCGTGGTCCCCGTATTTTGGTCTAATTCTTTTTGCATAATTCATACATGTCCCATGGGTGCGATGGTTTGTAATGAAGTCGAGATTCAAATTTGGTCTGGCGCGACTCTCCAAGTCTTAGTTAGGGATGGAAGAGGGGTACTCGATCCACCCAAACCCTAACAGAACATGAACGGGTTTTGGGTAGTGGGACGGCTGCTCTTCCATCCCTTGGATAGATTGAGAGGAGGAAAGTTTGTTTGAAAAAAAGAATCCTTTGGTTGTTCCCTTTGAATCTGGTAGAATAATTAAATATTAAATCACGTCTTCATCTAACAGCTTAAGCTTTTAAAATAGTTCACAGTGATCCCACCAAATCTCACATAGTATCAAAGCAGGAGATCCTGAGTTCAAATCTTTTCAGGCCCAATTTACCTTCCCAATTAAATATGTCCACGCTTAGTACAAGGCAAAAAGACCAAACTAAGCGTGAGGAGGAGTGTTAGAATAATTAAATATTAAACCACGCTTTCATCTAACAGCTTAAGCTTTTATAACAGTTGGCAGTGATCCCACCAAATCTCACAGATTCCATGTATTGTTCTCATTATGCACATAAGGGAGAAGTCGTATGAAATGAAAATCTTATGCACGGAAAAGCATCATTGGCTTATCAAATTATCTATTGAAGAAGGGGGACGCCATTTACTGCTCAAACTAGTTTGAGATTAACTCAAAACCCGATAAGGTTTGGGACATATTTCATAGTTCAGAATCCCGATACCCCAGCACAATATATATTAATTACTATAATGCTCTTATTTCATATATAGTCCTCATTCATAATAATTACAAAACCCAAATCTAAATTCGTTATAGTCTAACATTTCTAATGACAAACCACCATTTTAAGTTAGGTTCTCATCTTATGATTGTAAAATTTTTAGATTCTTGTTATCATTGATGTTACGTTTTTGTGGATCTAATTTGTGAATTTTAAATAAATGGTTGTGTATGCAAATTTGTGGTGATTGATTATGTATTTACTAGTCCTAAGATATTTGTTTAGTGAAAAGGTACTACAGCGGGTTGCGAGTGCCCAACTCGTACTGCCAAAACCATGAACTGTTTTGGGCTGGGTATGCGATGAAGTCAGCCGTCCCGAACCTCTCCTGTTCCATTTCTAGTCCGAGTAGGATTTTGATTGGACTGAAGAGATGGATTTAGTATAAGACGCGAAAGTTCATTGATGATATGTAATGCCGAGATGTGTCAATTCATAGATAGAATAAACTATTTTCTGATCTTAGTAAAGTTAAAATCTCCAATATGGAGGATAGCAAGGAAGAGACTATATAATCTACTTCTCCTTTAACCTAATCATCGCCTTGGTTGGGTGACTCCAAGACACCACTCTCTATAGAATTTTGACCCCTCATCAATATTAGGAAAGAGTAAAAACAAAGAGAAGATAATCGGAGACAACTCCCCGGGACAATTCTAAATGCATTACGACATAGAACCCAAGGGATATAACTAGGAGGCGTGAGGTCCCTTCTAGTAACACCAAAATAGGGAAAAGATAACATATCTAAGGCTTCGTTTGTTTTGCGAAAAATGTGACATTTTAGAAAATAATTTCCAAGAAGTCATTTTATAGGAAAATGATCATACTTTTTGGTGTTTAGATGAAACCTGAAATGAACTGGAAAATATTTTCTGTCGTTTGGCAACGAAAACTTGATTTATTTTTCCTAAATAGACATATATTATTTATGCGCTATTAACATGTGCATGGGCAGTCGAGGAACCGGATACGGGCACTAGAGTCTGCGGTCCAGCCTAGGTAGACCCCGGACTTGTACATCAAGACCCGGGCACGAGCACCTAAGTTCCAAGCATGAGCACAGGCACCTATCCCAGGTTCACAGAGCTAGGCCTAAGAACTCGGTACCCGTGCCCAACTTCCTGATGCTTCAACCTCGGGTGTACAAAGCCTGGGATCGAGGCCCTAATGCTTATGCCCGGATCTCGAGAACTCAGGCCTGAGTCCATTGAGGCTAGGCTCGGGTCCGCAAAGGCCAAGCGTGAGACCTCGATGCTCGGGCCTAGGCCCAAGTTTAGAAAGGCTGGGCTTAGGAACCCGGTGCTCGAGCTCAAGTCCCCAACACTCGAGCATTAGACCATCAAGGTTGGGATCGAGACCCTAATGCTCGTGCTCGGGTTCTCGACAACTGGGCCTAAATCCTTGGCACTTGAGTCTGGATCCATCGAGGTTGGGCCAAGGACCTAGTGCTTATGCCTGGGCCCCAGCAACTAGGCTCGAGACCTTAGTGGTCATACTCGGTTTCCCCGCCCCAACCTCTTTCCCATTGAGGCCAAGGTCCAAGAAACCAGTGTCAGTGCCTGGGTCTAATGAGGCCAAGCGCGGTTCCCGGCGCCCGTGCCTTGGTCCACCTCGATGGCCACTGGCGCAGGCACTGAGGACTTGGTCTCATGCCCTCCTTGATGCCTAGGTGTCGGGGTCCAAGACCTAGCCTCGATGGATCTAAACACAAGCACTAGGGTCCTACGCCTGACCTTGGTGGACTCGAACCCGGTCTCGATAGACCCAGGCATGAGTGTCGAGGTTTCGAGCCAGGCCTCGACGGACACAAGCCTGGCTTCTGGGTAACTGGGCATTGGTACCAAGGTCCAGAGCCCTGCCTCAATTGACCTAGTCCTGGGTGCGAGGACATGGGCAGGAGCACCGGGGACCCGATCCTGGACACGGATGTTGGGGTCCCGAGCTTAGCCTTGATGGACCTAGGCCCTTGGCCTCGATGGACCTGAGCTTAAGTGTGCGGGATCTAGGCACGAAAACTGAGGTCTCGAGCTTGTGCGCCAGGGACCTAAGCATGGGCATTAGGTCGGCCTCGATGGACTTGGACCTAGGCATGGGCTCTGGGTTCCCAAGCCCAGCCTCTATGGTCTCGGCCTCTATAGACTAAGGCCTTGATGCTAGGGACTTGGGCCTGGCCTCAATGGACTAGGGCCCACGTTGGGGATCCGGACACGAGCACCAGGGTACGAGGCCCAGCCTCTGTGGACCCAAGTCGAGGCGCCGGGGAATCAAGCAAGGGTATTGGGGTCCCAAACCCGACCTTTGTGGACCTGGGCCCGAGCGTTCGGCCACAGGCGTTGAGGAATCGGGCACTGGTCTCATTGGATCCCAATGGACTCGCCTTGGCCTCTAGACCCAGATCTATTACCAAGGGCTTGGGAACGAGGATTAGGGTTCTCGTGCCCAAACGTAGAATTTATAATCCAAGGGTCGATATCTAATCATATTTTGGAAAATGATTTTCAATTTTTTAAGAGGAAATCATTTTTCTAATTTTAAGCATATGTTTTCCGATTTTTAGCTAGTTCATTTTCGTAAGCGATCCAAACACTGGAAAATGAGAAAAATGTTTTTAGCGATATAAATAAAGCCTAAGATAAGAAATTCAAAATAAGCAGTACTATTATCAGATTCCTAATCTTGGTAAGGGAATTCTATAGTAATTCTAAAGAGATATTACAGATCAAGAAAACATATACCACATCCCTATTATTCAAATAACAAGAGATATTTGACAAAAAAAAAGGAGATAATCTTAAAATCTTCAGAAATATTCTCAATATCATTCTCCCTTGGTTAGAGAAAACTCGTCCGAGGGTAACTTCGTCAAGTTCTTGGTCTTCATGATATAGTGATAGATCAGAAACATTGAAAGTAATAGAAATACCATACTCCCTAGGAAGCTTAATTTTGTAGGCGTTATCATTAATGCGCTACAAAACTTGGAAAGGACCATCTGCTTGAG